GGTATATTCCTTGGCTATGGCAAAACCACAGACAATATTAAATACTTTGATATCCACACAGGAACCGATAAAGTAGCCCGCCATGATTCCAAGGATGAACTGCAATACGGAGCCAACCCTAGTAAMAGATCACCTGCCGCTGCCCACTTACTCRAAGTATTCACTGAAGGAGAGAACACAGACCACACCACTAATCGCAAGCCAGAATCGGTTCAACTTTCATTCAAGGATCYGCGACAAACTAACCCATCCAACATAGTTCAGGAAATTATCAATGACTCTCCACAAAGCTACACCACAGCTGCTGCTGCAAAAGTACAGGCAAGAATCAGTAAAACTAAATTTGAAAGACCTGATATCACTGCTCTTGTTCCTGAACTGGAATGCCTTGACATCTCCACTAATATGTTCATTAAAGAGACTTCACATACTCTTCCTTTGAAGAATGTCAACAGCATTCATCCTACATTGGGTCTCCTGGTTAGCCCTCATCCAGACYTGAAAGACTCCATGGAACTCACAGCTCTCCAGGTGGGAACAATTGCCCATGCACGTATCAGGGGATGGAAACGGCGCCTCCGTGGAACAATCGTTACATCAGTCAACGACCAACCCATTCACTCCAAACGGGATATTGTGGACGCCATACAACGGGCTAGAGCAACGCACCGTGTTAATGTAACTATCAAATTTGGGTCGCTCACAGGATTTGCCATGAGYGGGGAGGGAGTCCCTACTCTTCAGGCTGACCAACTCAATGTAATTGCCMACCATCTCCATTCCATCAACAACCAACAGGACCTATGGCCCAATAAGACTCAATGGCCATCCGCCATGGACTCCCCTGAAACACTCACTGAACARATCCGAATTGCAAAACTCACCAGATCTAAGCTCCAACATACGGATAAATGGGAGGGATTCCTCAAGTCTGAATGGAAACAACTAAACAGATACCACAATGTAGGCATGTTTGGTAATCCCATTGATGAGTCACCAGATATGACTGTCCTTCCATGGGTCTGGACATACTTAGAGAAGGAGAATCCGCTTACAGGTATCGATGAGCCTAAATCTCGTGGCACATGTAATGGTGGCAAACGTTACGGCAAAGCTGTTACTCTTGCAGAAACATATGCATCATGCGTTGAACAACCTATTCACCGGCTCACCTGGGCCCTTGCGGCAGCACTTAACTTAATCTGTGTGGGTTACGATGTGGGCAATGCATTTGCAGAAGCCCCTCCACCAAAGAGCCCCTTTTATATGAAAGTTGATGCACCATTCCAACAATGGTGGACTGAGTGTCTTCATCGTGATCCTATTAGGCCCGGACAAGTCATACCAATCCTAAAGGCCTTACAAGGACACCCTGAAGCGCCTCGACTCTGGGATAAATACATCTCCAAACTGCTCATTGAGGAGCTTGGCTTCAAACCAACCACACATGAGCCTTGTCTTTACTTTAAACATGATGAAACTCACGGACTAACACTCATCCTACGGCAAGTCGATGATTTTCTTATAGCTAATGCCAATCGATCAGTTTGTGACAGTATTCGCGACCTCATCCAACAGCGGATGAGCAATCCACTCAATGTACTTGGAACGATCCGTAAATTCAATGGAATACACGTCGATCAAACGCGACACTACAACCATCTTCACTGCAGTCGATATATTGAAAAGATCTGTGAACACCATGGATGGCTTCACGAAAGAACCAGKAAACGACCAACTCCCATGAAGGAGGACTCTAATTACAGTAAACGAATACAACTTGATAAAGGACCGGCAGACCCAATGGAGGCAATGAAACTGGAACAGTCCATGGGATTCAGTTATCGACAGTGTATTGGWGAACTCATCTATGCACTCACTATATGCAGGCTGGATATATCGATAGCTGTAATTACCCTCAGCCAGCACTCTCACTGYCCTGCTCGCATACACTACAAAGCAGTAAAACAGGTCTTCATCTACCTTCTGGCTACTAAACTTGAAGGACTTACATACTGGAGACCATCACCACGAGAAGATCTTCCAGAACTTCCCCTTCCCCAACCAGTCTCCAAACAAACTACTCTTGCCAAATTCTATCAGAGTACGGACCCMCTCCAAGTCCATGGATCATGTGATACCACATGGGCCTCTGATAGACTACAGAGACGATCCATGGGAGGTATTATAATGATGCTAGCGGGCGCTGCTGTGTACTATCGAACTAGATTACAACCTACCATTGCTCAAAGCTCCACTGAAGCAGAATTCACCAACATGGCTGATGCTGGAAAAGCAGCTCTATATCTTCGATGGATCCTTTCAGAACTAGCTATTCACCAACCTAAACCCACTCCCATTCTAGCAGACAACCATGGTGCTGTACGAATGGCCAATGCTCAACAACCAACTCGACGCACCCGCCATGTTGAGATGAAACACTTTGTTATCTTACAATGGACTGATGATGAGCTTATCAGCTTTGTGAAAACCAAATCTGATGAGAATTATAGTGACTCACTGAGCAAACCCACCGGTCGCACTAAGTTCTACGAACACACGGAYGTGTTTATKGGGCGGATTAGACCGGAATACACCTTAATAGGCACTCCTAACACCACTAATAGTGTGGATACCCCCRCTATACGGAAAATCACATGCTCCACTTGCAGTCTAAATCCTCTACATGACTTACTGGATTCTTACGAGGATTTAGAGCCTGCAAGTGCGGGGTGGTGTGAGGARAATAACCCCAACCCAAATCACCTACACGTAGCACTAACACGAATACCACGTGAGTGACAACAACAGACAGCAATATCAGCTGCACACAGCACTCACTCTTTATTGTAAACACCCAATAACATGCACTAGAGAGCCTAGTAACATTTCGCAGCAAAGAGTGCGCGTAGAGTTCGAGTTCGTTGATTCGACACGTAAAGATGGCATCAGAAATCAGAACAGACGGTAATTCTGTCATTCGTCATTAGTGACAATGATATGTACGTATCGTAGGTACGATCACTCCCCAGCAGTGACCCTTGACCCTGGACCCTGCTCTCATTACCAGATGAATTTTTCGACTAGATCGACTACATTCAATTCGATTCTGTGTGTGTACGGTATCTTTTTCGTCGAAGAATCTTTGACGAAATTGCCTCACATGCKGTACAGTAACAAAAAGTAGAACATAGGAGTATTTCGTATTTCTACAAAAATACTTCTCTGTACCAAAATAACCTACGGTTTCGCACGTTCGGTACCGTACGGTAGGATATGTATCGATGGTATGAGACGCATGAAAGAATATTGTAAGTTTTGTTTCGCCGGTGGAACGATTACGTTCCCGGTGTACCTTCAACTCACTTCGGCCGAACTCATCCGAAACGTTGTTTCTATCGTTTCATCGAAACGCGACGTATTTCTAATTATGTTCCGTGCAAACACGAAAACAGGTGTACAAAAATTTTGACATCCCGCCACTCTTCCACTGTTCTATACGATCGAAGAGCAAGCAGCATTAATTGTTTCTGATAGGAAGGACGAAATCCCACCGCTGGGAAATTGAAGAAAAACAAGGGGACCAACACAAAACCGGAAAAAGAAGACGGGACGAGTCAGACAGACGTCGTCGTCGTATTCTACCAAACAAGTCTCAAAGCGACTGAATTGGATCGAGAAAAAAGATAGCCGCAGTTTGAGTTCGGTTTTCCTCTACCATCTTTTGGTATTAATCACACCACACCGCACGGCTCCACGCAGAACATATCTTGCCGTTCTTGGTGAGGAAAACAATTGCGCTCATACACACACACACACCACAATAAGAAAGCATGTTCGCTTTGAGATCCTCCTCAAGGGGTATCCTTGGTTCCCGATTCCAAGTATCAACAACGTGGCGAAGGCTTCCAAATCATGTTCCACAACAAAGGAGCAGCAGCAACTGCTATAGAATGGGCATTACATCTGCGTTCAAGGGGCTTCGCCGCAGCCGCTATGCGATTGCGAATTCGCCTGGTATTTTAACGCCGTCGCGGCATGCCTCCAAATCAATGCGAGCCGCATCTTCTGGATCCTCCTCCGCGAGTAGCACCAGCGTTGTACCGCTTCCTACGCGGGAGCAGCTCTCAATCCTCGCCATCCGGTCCGCCATCCCGATGGTCGGCTTTGGCATAATGGACAACGTCGTCATGATCACCGCCGGGGGCGCCATCGACTCCACCATCGGGGTCTCCCTGGGAATCTCTACCATGGCGGCCGCCGGTCTGGGCCAGTGCTGCAGCGACGTTGCGGGGATCACCTCGGGCGGGATCGTGGACGCGGCCGTGTCGAGGCTGAACCTGAGGCACCACGGCTTGTCACCGCAGCAGCTGGACACCCGGGTTGCCCGCGTGTGCGGGACGATCGGGGCCTGCGTCGGGGTCGTGACGGGGTGTTTGCTTGGAATGACGGTGCTGTTCTGGTGAGTACTAGAGCAATGGATTGACCGGCTCGCTGCCACTAGGCATTCGAAGCTTGGCTTTGTTTTTTCGTTGTTTGGCAATTCATAGGATTTTTAATAGATCCTAAACCATTAGGAGATGTGGCTCACGTGATTTTTTGTGTTTGGCAGCATGGATACGGACAAGGCCGACCGAGCGAGGCGCGCAAAGGAACTGAAGAGCATATTCGAATCGGTCATGAACGACGGGCATAAGCTGGTGGGAGCCGAGCGGGCAACCCTGTTTCTGATCGATGAAGACTCGAATGAACTGTGGTCGCAGGTTGCTACCGGAATGGAAGGGGAGAACATCATCAAGGTCCCCTCCACCAAGGGCTGTGTCGGAACAAGCGTTACGAACAATATCGTTTGTAACGTTCCGGACGCCTACGCATCGGAAGACTTCAACAAGGAAATCGACGTTTCGACCGGTTACAGGACGGTCAGCATTTTGGTAGTGCCGATTCGATCGGAGAGCGGCAAGGTCCTCGGGGCCATTCAGATGATCAACAAAAAGCAGCAACCGCAGGAAGGATTCGATGGTGATATTGCCGACAACAGCAATGACGCAACAATAATCCCCTTTTCGGAAAACGATGAGAAGGTTGTTAGTGTCCTAGCGTCTCATGTAGCGTCTTTTATCCGTGTGGTGGAATCATCGGAGTGAGGACCACAGAAATTTTCTTGGAATCAGATAGCAACTACAAAATTCTAGAGCTATAGCTCATCCCGTGCCTCGGGACAAAAATGTTTCTCACCGAGACTGGAAATCTTCGTAGGACAAAATGACTGGAATTTCGATGTGTTGTGATTCAATTACATATGCCAGAGAAAGCAAACAAATGGAACCTTTCTTCGAAAATGCCTTCCGATTGATAGATCTTGAGAACAGAAGTGCTCTCTATTCAGCTACGAATCACTAGCCGCCATGTTCGATCATTGAACACTATGTCGCACGGTAGTTTCCTAAGTTCATCTAAAGCGTAGAAGGCCTTTTGGCAACTTTTCTACAACAGATGTGGCTGCCGACGTATTCAGTATATAATTTCTGTGCGATACGCTATGTGAAATTTAAGTGGATTGTTGTACTTTATAAAAAAGCTACGTTATAAATTGTGAGCATTTTCAAATTCTCTTTCAATTTTGGTGTGGTCTTGGTTTGCATTATTCGCGTCGTGTATGGATATCCGTTTATATCGCATCTTCGGCGTCGCTATCACTATCGCTGTCACTGTCACTGTCGCTATCGCTGTCACTATCGCTGTCACTATCGCTGTCACTATCGCTGTCGCTGCTGAGACTGCTGGTGCTGCCTCCCGGACTAGTTTTGAGATCGACCGTTTCGTTTTTGTCGTTGACGGACGAAGTCATCTCAGTTGTTTCATCTTCTACTTTCTTGTCCTCAACATCGTCGCTCGGATCGGCGGAATCAACGCTCTCCATTTCCTTCGAAGAGGCAGCATCTTTCGTTTTCACGATCACGGTATCGATCTCTTTGTTACTGTCATCGACGGTCTCGATTTTGTTGTCGACTGAAGAAGCCATCTCGGCTGTTTCCTCTACTACTTGGGTCTCGATTTTGTCACTGGAAGAAGATTCTTTCTTGGTTGTTTCATCAGTTGCTTTTTTGTCGTCGTTGCTGTCGCTCGAATCAGCAGAATCCACGCCTTCCAATTCCTTCAAAAAGGCATCGTTTTCCTGCTGTTTCGCTTCTGCCATCATGGTATCGATCTGTTCGGACTGTGGAAGATCCATAGAGCTCGCTCCGATCACCATGTCATCAATGCCGTCCATGATGTCCTGGGAGCCGGTAATGGTGGTGGGAGAAAGACCATCCAGTTCTAGCGCCGCCATTGCGTTGGCGGACTGTTCACTTGCAATGGAAGCATCAGATGGATCTTTGTTACCGCCGTTGCTGCTGCCATCGGTTGCTTGTTTGGGCTTGTCGGGGGCTTCATTGTCACTTCCACTGCCTTGTTTCTCGCCAACAAACCGGTTGTTTTCGAACTGACCACGGAAGGTGCCCCTGGATTTCGTGTAGAGGGTTCCGGTCCCGGACATTTTTCCGCGGGTCATTTCCCCTAGGTAGGTATCTCCATTGGTGAACCGGATGGTTCCGACTCCGTGCGGTCTCTTGTCGACAAGAGGACCCGTGTAGGTTCCTTCGAGGCCGGCCTTCTTGAATCGGATCTTTACCTTTTTCATTGTCGTCTTGCGGTTGCCGCCCTGACCGTTCTTGGGAGTGACTCCGTGCTGGCTTCCGTGCTTGCTGAGGGAAAGGATACCGTGGAAACTTCCGCCGTGGCGGCTTCCTCCGTGCACACTGCCTCCGTTGATCGAGTTCCCCATTAGAAGGGCGGCGGCTTTTGCGGCGGCGGCGGCCTCGAGGGGGATGGCAATTTCTGGGTCCTCCTTTTTCGGGATCGTTGGTGTGGCAAAGGCCCCCATGCGGATCGACCGGAACCGTTCGATGAGGCCCAGCCTCTTCAGGTTGTGCTCCCTTGCCGTCGGATCCTCCCGCGTAGGTGGTTGCGGGGGTAGTGGTTTCTTCGTCTGTTCCTTCTTGGCAGCCGCCGCATTTGCCTTGAGATTTTTGTTTTCCTGGTTGTTCTTATCGTTTTCCATTGCCCGTTTTTCGTAAAATTCGCGGTCGTTCACGTTTAACTCGCGAAAAAGATTTTCGAGCATTCCAATCTTGATCTGGTTGGTTTGGTTCTCCTCCTGGAGGGCGTTGATTTCTTTTTTCTGGGTGACGTTGAGGTGGGAGCTGGCCTGGAGTCCGTCCTCGAGCATCTCGATGTGGTCCTTCAAGTTTCCGAGCGTGAGGTCGAGAGCGGTCTCGGGTGTCAAGACAATTTCTTCGTCCTCATCTTCATCCGAATCCTCGTCGTCGCTGCCGTCCTTGTCGTCCATGGCAATTGTCGTGACGTTCTGGAGGGATCGGACTACCGAGCTGAGCTCGGAGGTTTCCTTCTTGGCTTTGTCGCGGTCGATTTCCAGAAGCGCCTTTTCGGTGGTCAGGTTGGTGATCTTTTTCTCTAGGTTTTCGATCTGACATGCACGCTTGGCCAGCTCTTCGGATTGCTGTAGCACCAGCTTGTCCGATCCGCCGCTGTTGCTGTTCGTCAAAAGCTCGGTCAGTTCGTTGGCCTTGGCAGCATGGAACTTGGATTCTTCCTCGACTTCCTCCAGCCGGATGCGGAGCTTGCAGATTTCCTGACGCAGGCTCTCGGCTTCGTCGCGGACCCGTCGAACATCCTCGAGCCGCCTTTCTTCTGAAACCGGCGCGTGAAACTGGACCTGTTTCGGATGGTCTTGTGGCAGTTCTGTTTCGACGACGGGTGAGGCTTCCGGCGGCACTGGTTCGACGGCAACCGTATCGTCGATAACATCACCGTGCGACGACATTTCTGGGGGCATAGTTGTTCTTGATTCTTGATCGACCACTTTCAATTTCTATTGAACGACGAGGACGACAATGATGTATTTTCTATCTTTCTTTTTCTCGTCTTGCCTGCCTGTTTTGGGTGAGAATGAAACTTTGTAGTTGCCAATCCTGGTGTTCCTCTCGTTTTTGGTTGGAAAGGGCTTCTCGGCAACTCGAAAGACCTCTGTGCTTTGTGTTGTCGACGTTTGTCGTTGCTGTCGAAATTTATCAACTTCTTTTGTTCTTGGCGTTTTGTAGATCACTCTACGGAGAACAATGTGGTAACGGCGGATTTGTATGCAATTCGATCAGGTCGTCATCCATCGAATTCATGTTTTGCAAGCGTTTCATGTTTCCATCGGAGATACGCATTTTCAAATACTTAAGGTTCTACCGAGATTTTTTTGCAATCTGCGAGTTCTCTTGGAGTGGGCTATGTCAGCGAACTGGGGACCATTTTTATAAGCCCGAGCTTCCAAATTTATTCACATGTAAAAGTCTTCCACGTGGAATCTGTATACTATATACTATAATCTAAGACTGCTTTAGTGCTTATCAGATCACTGTGTTAGGACTAGTTCGATTACTTGAGACGTCTCTATTGAACCTAGCAGAAATAAGAGTCCGAGAAATCACACCAGAGAAATATGAAATATTCCTCATCTCAAAAATCAAAAGCACGCAGGATGAAAACACAATAGACCAAGCATTTCGACCCGAAAAGTCGATCACTGATCAACAAACAGCAAACAATAAACAATATTTTTTAAAAGAAAGCCATCCGTCTGAAATCTGAACCATGCCGAAAGCGGAAAAGGGTTCCGTAAAGGATATTGCCAACCGCATGAAGGCAAGGGGCCTGCAAAAGCTCCGCTTCTATTGCCAAATGTGCCAGAAACAATGCCGGGACGCCAATGGTTTCAAGTGCCACATCCAATCCGATTCGCACATGCGGCAGATGAAAATTTTCAGCGAGAACGCTGGGGGGTTTCTAGAGCAATACTCGAAGGAGTTCGAACAATCCTTCATGACGAACCTGAGAATGCGGCACGGGACCAAAAAGGTCAACGCCAACAATGTCTATCAGGAAGTCATTTCCGACAAGCAACACATCCACATGAACGCAACGCACTGGACGACACTCACGGAATTTGTTCAGTACCTGGGGAAAACCGGAAAGTGCATCGTGGAAGAAAACCACTCCGACGGGACCGGGGGCTGGTACATCTCCTACATCGAGCGCGATTCCGGGATCCTGGCCCGGCGGGAGGCCCAGAAACAGCGGGAAGCCGCCGACCAGAAGGCCGAGGCCGCCCTTCTGGAACGTATGAAGGCGCAGAGAATTGCCGCCGCCAGGGCGCTGGACAGGGCGGGGGGGTCCGTGACCGTGCAAGCCACGTCGATCCAGCAGAACGGGAACACGGCACCCGCCATCAAACTGGGGTTGGGTGCGGCGAAAATGAAAACGGCCAAGAAAAAATCCACCGCATCCATTGGAACCTCGGCCTTTGGGGACGACGATGATGAAGAAAATAATGACGATGAGAAGGATTACTCGAAGCGAAAGTCAGCGAATACGAACGTCGAAAAGATGATGAAGGAAACAACCATGAGGAAACAAGCGGCGGCGACGACAATGAATGAGAACAAGAACAGCAGCAGCAAGGATTCTAGCGCCAACCCAAAGACAACGAAAAAGAGAAAACTCAACGACGATGGAAATCGGAGGATAGAGGAAATTACAAAGCGATCGAGAGACGAAAGGAGCGAGGTTTCCCGGACCAAACCAAGCGAAGAGCAACAAGCCGTTAAGGACCAAAACAGTTGGCTGTACCGGGACATTATGGTGCGCGTAGTTTCGAAACGGTTGGCCGGCGGCAAGTATTTCCGAAAAAAGGCGGTGGTCGACACGATCGTAGGGGACGGATTCGCGGCCGAGGTCGAGGTCTTGGGGGATAGCGAGGACGGAGTCGACGGGGATATTTTGCGGCTGGACCAGGACGATCTGGAAACCGTGATCCCCAAGGTGAGCAGTGGTGGCAAGCCCAAGAAAGTCCGGATCCTAAGGGGGGAATTCCGGGGAGAAAAGGCGACCATCGAGCACCTCGACAAGTCCAAATACCGTGCCGATCTGATTCTGTACAAACCGAAACGGGACGAGGACCGGGGGAGGCGCCTCAGAAAGGTCCCGTACGAAGATTTTTCGCAGATTGCCTGACCGTTCGACCCGCACAAAAACTGCCGGGATTGGTGTTCACGGATTGCCAAACCACCTAGGTGGACAACGAGTGGTATGCCATACGCCCATGAGTCGCCGCTATGGCCTTCGCTTCCATCCTCGATCGAGTCGCGCAAAGGAAGGAAACACGGAACCATCAAGAACGGAAAGCGAGCAGCCCACCAAACGAATAGCAAAAACGCACACGATCAGTTGCCAGGGGTCGATCGGGGTCTGTGGAATAGAATACTGTTCAGCAATCCGTGGACCGATTTCGTTTTCGTTAACGATGATTCAGTCGTCGACGCAATCACACAATACTAGCGAAGATTGAACGAAACCAAACAATAGCTGCATCGTATTTCGTAGTTTGTACGGAGGGTTTTGATGACGGAAAAAAACTTTAGAACTATGCGCAGACGATTCTGTTCCTCGTGTTCAGTAGAGATGTTGAAAATCGATTGCGTCAAAATGTAGAGTGTGAACTATAATTCGGACGGAGGAATTTCTTACTGCGGCCGGAACGTGAAGATCGTTGTGGGAGCCGGCGACTTGGTGGGGCTCAGGGTCGGCCCCCGCGTCTCCGTAGCAGAAGGCAGGATCAGATCCTTCACGGTGATGACGTTCCCGTTGCCGTAAGCGTACACCGGCTCGATGAGCCTCGGTCGGTTTCTGTTGGGGTGGTTCCCCAGCCCCATCTGGCGCTTGATGTCGGACCCGTCTACGCAGGTCGTCTCGGTGGTTTGGTCGTCCGCAAGGGTTGGATAGATGCCTCCGCACGCGAGGGTTGGTGGGAGATGGACCTCGGGCATGACGTGGGTCAGGAGAAGGGTTTCGATGTTGTTGGAATCGAGGTTCTCGGGCCTGGTATTTTGAAACGCCTCGTCGGTGGGGGCGAAGAGGGTGATACCACTCAGATCGCTTAGTGAGGAGAGAAGCCCGGTTTGTTCCAGATAAAAGCACAGGATGGTGTATTCGGTGCCCTCGCGACAGAGCTCGTCCCCTGGATACGGTAAAGGCAACCAGACAGATAAGAGAAGGAGCCAAACGCAAACAAAMAAAATTTGGTCAGTGAAAGCTTGCTTTGAAATATGTTCCCGGATAAACGTGGAAGCCATGACAGGTGTGGAGGGCCATGTCGGCTTTTGGCTCTGGCGTGTTACGTACCGATTGGTCCGAGGGGTGGGAGGATGAGCTTGTCAACACCGAGAATGTTGCCGTTGGAGGCTTCGTCGACGGTCATCGAAACGAGAGGCAGTTCGAACTCCACTCCCTGGTTTCCGGCTCCCTTCTGAAACTTGTAGATTGGAACAGCGGGGTCAATAGATTCCATGCAGAGGGTCTCGGTGCTCTGTCCATCGAGAAGAGTCTTGTAGATCTTGTTGCACACCAGGCTGTCAAAAGTCTCGGCCACGTTAGGGAGAACGTGCAAGAACAAGATCTCCAGGATCTCACCATCGGAGACCACGGCTCGGTCGATTCCGGCGAAGGCCGAGTCGACAGGGGCAAAAAGCGTAAAGGTCGAGGTCAGGTCACCGAGCGCATCGTCGGCACAGAGATCGAACTCCGTCAGCAATGCGCAGAGTGTACTGTAGAGAGGATTCGCACAAACCTTATCGCCTGGTGGTTTGAGGAGGCAACGATATAGAATGATTCAAAATGTGGGGGGAAAGGGGTGAGTAAAAATCTGTCAGTCCTAATCAAGAGGACGAAAGAGACCAGACAACAGGATGCGAAAAGGCGGCATCGAAGCGATCCCCCGTATAGCAAAGTATACCGCCGAAAACCAGTCGATATTTCGTACTCACAAATGGATAGGGCCTTTGTCGGGGTAGCCGATGGAGCTCCGGTAGGGCTCTTGGTTGGGTTCTTGGTTGGCCTCTTTGTAGGTCTTTTAGTGGGTCTCTTAGTGGGACGCTTTGTTGGTCGCTTCGTCGGTCTCTTGGTGGGTCTCTTGGTCGGTCGCTTCGTCGGTCTCTTGGTGGGCCGTTTCGTAGGCGACCGGGTGGGAGCGTGGGTGGGCGGGTTCGTCTCCGGCGCGGGAAGGCAGACGGACGTGGCGTTGTAGGTGTAGTTGAATGTATTGACGCAGTTTTGGAGGACCCTTACGTCCGTGGCGTTGACTATGGTCACGTTCACACCGAGGGCATCCGATGCGTTTTGGTAGAGGGTGTTCCAGTTTTCCACGAGTGTGGCGTTGTTGGGGGCAGGGCAGTTGCATTCCGGCCGGGGCCCGGAGCAGGGACAGGAGCCAGTGCAGGTCCCGTTGGGCTGCTTGAAAGCCTGGAAGGAGACCCCATCGTCCCCGGCGCACTGGCAACCGCAGTAGGGATCCTGCGTGTAGGAGTTCTTGGTGACCACGAAGCTGCTGCCGTCCAGGGAGTTCGAGGAGTATTCCAGGCACTCCATCAGCAGGGAAGCCTCCTCGTAGATGATGTTTCGGGTCACCACGGTGCAATTCTTGAGGGACCGGATGGATCCCTCAGAGAGGGAACAGTCAACAGAATCGTCGTAGGCGGTGGGTGCCGTTTTTTGCAGGGCGAGGACATCAATAAAGTTGGTGCGGTTCTGGGGCTCGGCCAAAAAGACGACGAGGAACTTTTTTTCCGCAAAGACATCGGTGCCGTTTGCTAGGGTACGGATCGGCTCGGGGACGCAAACCTCGGGCACCTGCAGGTTGCGTGCTGCGGGCTGGGGATGACCACGGATTTGCTGGGAACTCACAGACGACGCCAGCAGCGAAAGCCCGGCAACTACCGAGAGGAGAATCTTGTGGAAAAACATGTTGCGATGATGGATGGATCGGTGGATGGAAGGATGGATRGATCAGTTTCGCAATATCGAAGGGAATATGAATCGGTGTCGGAAAATCGATTACGAATGGAATTTTGTGTGCCGAGGTTGACAATGACAGTAATTCCGTTGCGCTTAATCACATGAAAGGTCGGCTGCCATGTAAAGTGCCAAACTACTAGTGCCGATCACGCAATATTTTTCTTTCACTTGGTGGCACTAATCGGAAGGTCGATTTTTCGTTGGCGCGGCCGTGATTTGAAACGATGGTTGTACCCGTAATGAGGGCACCAAAAAAGTGATGAGTAATACACATGACAAGCACATGAAAAAGATTCCCATTGTGCATGTGCTCTTACTTATCTCAAAAATAGAGTGGTTCATGACGAGAGAGTCTGCATTTGACTAGCTTAAACAATTTTGATCTGATCAAAAGCTGCGTCTAAGTATTTCTATTTCACACATGAAAAATTTCATTCGTGGGGGCTATGGAATTTTTTTTTTGGGGGAAAAAGTTCCTGTTTGGAGACGAAGCCACACAATATTTCGTCTTTTGTCATATTGCGAATCTTCCTGCACCCGGGGTGGGTAAGCACGTGCTCGAATCGAACCGGCTGAAACGAGTACGGGCCGAATGCAGAGGAGGCGAGGGGGTAGGCGGAATATGCGGCCACCAGTGAAGGCCACGTTTGGCAATCATCGGCCTTTTTTTTCTCGGTTGTGATGGTGCGGGATTCCTGTTCGGAAGATGCTGGTGTTAGCCTTGTCCCAAATCATCCTGATCCGAGTATTAGTACTAGTAGGGATAAGGTTTACAACTGGCAGTATTACTACTACTGGTGATACAAAAATAATAATATTCTTAGTAGTAATGAAAGTCTAGTTCTATTACTACTACTAGCTTGTATTAATGCATACTACTCTACTACTAGTACTATTACTCATAATAATAGTACTACTAGTACTAGAAACAATGATTTTTGTCTTCTCCTCATCCTCCTCCTCACCAGCAACAAGAAGAAGACATCCCCATCCTTCTTGTTCCTCTACTACTAGTACTAGTACTAGTACTAGTACTGGGTATCACAACACCAACTTCCAGGTTCTCAACAACACATTTTACCACTGAAACAAAGAAGTGTTGTGGATCATGCTGCCTGAAGGAAGACCAAGAAAAATGCCATCACCAGTACAACGACTACTAGTAGACTACTACTAGTAGTAGTACTGCTAGTAGATGTAGTACTGGTGCAGTCATAATTGGCAATCCAACAATTTGAGTGATCTTTTTTGTTTCAGCTTGTTCAATTTTTGAAGATTTTTTCCACCATTCTTAAACAATTCTAATTGCAGGGAAATGATTTCATAGTAACATAGTAATTTTTTGTAAATTTTTTGCTTTGTACTTCCACTGGTTTGCTGGTGGAGTGTGCTGTGCTTTGGCAGTTCTTGTTACTACTAGTAGTAGTGGTAAATGTACAGGTAAAGTGACAAGTTCAATAATTGAGAAAGTTGAAAGTCTTTTTCAAAAAATTACAAACAGCAGATGCAGAAATATTTGAATGTACCACCAGTGTCCATACAAAAATTGGATTCATTCAAGTATTGGTGGTAAAAGATCATGCTGGCACCAGCAGTCCTTGAAACAGCAAGGTAGCCTCTTTTGCTGATCTTTTGCTCATGGTGGTCATTATATTATGCTGGTGCTGACTGCAAAAGAAAGCTACTATTACTACTTACAGTACTACTACCACCAGAACTAAGGGGAGCATCTGAATCTTGCTCTTCAAAAGAGGTACAAGAAGTTGTTATTGACCCCATTTCATCATGTAGTGATTCCACTCTCCTCTATTATTTCAAATGGGGTTTCCACTCTCCATTGGAGCAAGAAATCATAACTGTTTATTAGTATTCATGTGGTACAAGAACACCAGTAGATTAATAGTAATGCTGGTGATTCAAATTGCTGATATTACTCGTCCTAACAATACTAGCAGTAATAGTATTACTAAGAGATCGTAGGTTTTTGTTGGAGAAAAAAACATTGAGAAAATATTTAGCTGGGTATTGATTGAAGAAAGAAATCCAGAAGAAGATTTCAATTACAAACAAACACATTAAAATTGTTTTTCCTGGACAGCTAGCTAGAAAGTTAAAAAGAACACTTGTTCATCAGCAGCAGCTAGTACTGCTAATAGCAGTACTAGTACTAGACACTGACACTTAAATTACTACTAGTAGCATAGTCAAGATTGATCTTAAAGCTAGGAAAAATGAAGCACACAAACATGAAAAACAAAATGCTGATTTCTTACTACTAGTTCTCATCTCTTGGTACCACTAATATTTCTTCAAGTTTCAAAGTCAACATCCTCTTCTCCAAATAATGTGTGCACAATCCAGAGTAAGTAAGTAATTTTTGTTTTCTTTCATCATGGTAGTGGTGTCCTCAAGAGCAAATGTAGAATTGATCATGTGTACTAATTTAATAGAGTGTATTCATTTCTTATGTTTCATTCAAGAATTACCATGAGGGAGAGTATGAAGGTACTAGTACTACTACTATTACCACTAGTGGTAAGAAGAAGAATATGATAGTAGTAGTACTGTTACTACTACTACTTAATGTTTTGCTAATTTTTGTAAATGAGAAGGAATCTTGGTAAAATACTAGTTGTAGTAACAGGGCCATGGTCCTCATCAAATGATTAGTACATCAATCTGAATATGCTGATGCTCAACCTCCTTTGTTGTTGAATATAGTAAACTAGTACTTTGTCCTCCTCCACTTTGGAGGATTTCAATGTGTTTCAAGCCAAAAATATGGTCAAAAGTACGTGTGCACAAAACTTAACTCACTTAAATTGTGGGATTAAAACATTCAACACTAGTGAGCATGTGCATTATGTACATATTTGGTTTTTGTCAAACTAATAGACATTATCATAGATTTGGGCTCTAACTATATAAAGCAACTTACTAGTAGGTATATGACCTACTATATGTTTCATTTGGTCATTCTTGTCCTCCGATGAATGAGTTGCTGGAAAGAATTACATTTTTTTAACTTGGCTCTGTTACTACCAGCACCATTGAATTCAGCAGTTCCTGCCTTGTTCATTTTAATTTTGTTCTCCCCAGATGTAATGAATTTGCAAGAGAAGACAGCTTTTTGGCATCATTTTGGTCTTCATTTGAGGAGTGCATTTATCTTTTTATTGATTTGATTCAATCAAAACAGCTTGTAATGAGCTTGAAAATATACATATTAGGGGCTTTGTTGCTATCAACTAGTACTACTACTGCTAGCACTATTATATAATACAAGTACTATTTAATACCAGTAGTAGTAGTAGTAGTAGTAGTAGTAGTAGTAGTAGTAGTAGTAGTAGTAGTAGCAGCACAGGTATTATTTAAAGTCTTGATGATCTGCTATCAACTCGAGATGCATTGCTCACTCAATTGTGTTAGAGGCTTTGATGGCAAGTGGCCTTCTAGTGCCTGCTTAGCGCTGTTCTTGTGTGCTGGTGCCTTAGGGTGTTACTGCTAAGTTTGCGTCTTGGTTGCACTTAGATCGGTATCCAAATATAAAATTTAAATTTTGGATTAATACAAAATATTGCCAATAGTAGAATCATATCTAAAATTGTTGCCTTTCAGCGTACGAAATGACCACGTAAATGTACGCACTAGCTCAGACACATGTATCGTCATTATTTATATTCCTCTTTCAATCGCTTGAACATTTGGATCATCTCATCCACCTTCATTTCTCCCTCGACCTTGTTTTCTCGAGTACGGATGTTAACGGTGCCATTTTCCACTTCGTTGGCTCCTACTACCAGCTGGAAGTTATATTGAGCAATTTGAGCGTTTCGAACCTTCTTTTGGAAGGTGGCCTTGGATTGATCGACGTCGCAGAAAAACATTTCTTTGTGGAGTTTTTGTCGAACACTTTCGGCATAATCTCCGAAGTCCTTGTGAACGGGAATGATCATCACCTGTCTTGGACTGATCCAGAAGGGCCACTTTCCGGCCCAATGTTCGGTCAATACGGCAAACATGCGCTCGACGCTGCCCAGCATGGCTCTGTGAACAATGATGGGGCGAGCAAATTGCTTTCCTTCCTCCTTCGAGTCAGTGGTGTACTTGAGGTCGAAGCGGATAGGAAGCTGGAAATCAAGCTGAACAGTGGCACACTGATGGATGCGATCCATGGCATCCATCACCTTGATATCAATCTTGGGTCCGTAAAAGGCACCATCTCCAGGGTTTACCCTCCAGTTGCCCTTTCCGGCAAAAGTATTCATAGCTTCTTCCAAAGCGGCCTCGGCTTCGTCCCAGAGTTCCTTTTCTCCAAGAGCCTTCTTTGGCCTGGTAGAGAGCTCCAACTTGTAGGTCATGCCGAAGATATCGTAGACAAACTTCATAAAGTTCAAGGCACCCAACACTTCTTCGGTAATCTGATCTCTGCGACAGAAAATGTGTCCATCGTCCTGCTGGAAGCGTCGGACTCGGGTCAAACCGGTGAGGGCTCCAGAAAGTTCGTTTCGGTGCAAGACACCGAAATCGGCGTATCGGATAGGCAGGTCACGGTATGATCGAATTTGACTTCCAAACATGAGACAGTGACCGGGGCAGTTCATAGGTTTCATTGCCCATTCTTGTCCCTCGACCTCGAACGAAAACATGTCGTCCTTGTAGTGCAAGGCGTGACCAGATTGGTGCCACAGATCGAGGTTAAAAATATTGGGTGTGATAACTTCGTCGTAACCACGTTCCCAGTACTGCTTTCGGATAAACTCGATAAGTTTGTTGTAGATGCGGGCTCCGTGGGGCATCCAGAACGCGGATCCTGGCGACAAATCATTGAACATAATAAGGTCTTGCTTGTTTGCAAGACGTCTATGATCGCGCTCCTTGGCCTTTTCCATCATTTCTTGCCAGACCTTCAATTTCTTCTTGTCGGGGAAGGAAATTCCGTACAAACGCTGCAACGAATCGTTTTCGGCGTCTCCCAACCAATAGGCGGACGAGTGTTTGGCAGCAGCAAAGGCCTTGACCTTTCCGGTATGGGAAACGTGTGGGCCACGGCAGAGATCGATGAGATCTCCACATCGGTAGACGGTGGTACGGGTTCCGTCAGGAACCTTGGTGCTCAAGATCTTGACCTTGAAGGGATTGTCGGCAAATAGCTCCAAGGCCTCGTCCTTGGTGATGACCATGCGCTCGAACTTTTGTTTCTTTTTGATAATAGCGTTCACTTCCTTCTCGATGGGTTTGTCTACAAGCAAAGAAATGGTGTATTGAATGAATCCAAATGTGGCGCAAAAAATTAAATCAGTGCAAGGGCAAAAACGAATCGTATTTCAGAATTTCTAACACCGGACTTCCACAAAGGAATAACACGGGAAGGGCGTATCCCAGCTCAATACCAACGCAATATTTTCAAGTCACATTCTTGTTTAAACGATACTCACAATCGTCATCTTTGATGGAATCCGCTCCCATGTAAGAATCGTAATAAAAGCCGGCCTTTAAAGGAGGCCCAATTGTCAACTTGGAACCAAAGAGATGTTCCAGTGCTTCTCCCATCATGTGTGCCGAGGAGTGCCAAAAGACAGTCTTGGCGTCTTGATCGTCGTCGAACTTGAGGAATTCTAATTTTTTAACAGGCCCAACCAGCGGGCGGGTCATATCCCAGAGCTGGGGTTTCATGCCGGAACCCACGTTTTCTTCGTCGTCATTGTCCTCGAGGTCTAGGTCCTCCATGGCATCCAACAACCCATCTGCGGCTCCGACACCGTCCTGGGCCGGGTCATAATCGTCAGCATATTTTTCGTAGGTGACACGGGCTACGATCGAGGCATCTGCCAATCCCTGGCTGATCTTGGCGGCGACCAAAAAGGGGGTGGTCTGGTACGCCATGAATGGCTTCTCCTCCTTGTCGTGTGTCAAGACGGTTCCATCGGGCATGGTCACGCTAATCTCGACGGGGACTTTCTGCGCCATTTCTTCGGCACGCCGGGTCTTGATGGCTTCATAGTGTTCGTTCCGGACTTTCAGCCACGAAGGGTTCGGGGTACGGCCTGGGAAGGAATCTCCTCCGATGAGTTTGTTTTCGCCTTCGGCCGCTTCCATGAGCGGTCCATCAGACTGGATGGTACGGCGTCCTTGATCTGTCGACATTGTCTTTTGCGTTTTCGTTCTAGATAAAATGAAACAGATTCCAATTTAATCTCGATAGATATAACTTCGCTGTCTGCTTTGTTATGGGTAGGCCTGTTGAGTGTTGAATCATGCGCTAGTTGATGTTGAAACATGCCGCTTGTTCTTGAAATAGAGAACGGCTATGTGCTTTCAAAGTGATGGGGCAAAATTCTGGTACTAAATTTCCGTAGAAACCCACAGTGAATGACTTCGTACGGAAGAATCTACGGTAAAACTACGAGTAAGAGAGATCTTCCAATCCGAACAACTGCAAAAGTACGAAGTACTGTAAGCGACATCATCGTCTGCACGTCAACCTGCGGGACAAAATGCTTGGACGGGATTCTTGTGTTACGTACGAAGTACGTACCGTAAACATTAGTATTGGCCTTGACTTTATTTGAAATAATGCAAATAGCCTTATTTCTTATTCTGTAAATCTTATGTCGTTGCATACTTCCGCCAGTATCAACAGAAAGCAGAGCGATCGCTCCTATCTTTCAAGGTGTCCTCATCGATAAATGTTGATGTTCCTCTTCAACCAGAGAAAACTATCTTCCAACGAAAAGTAAAGAATGATTGGTCTTTGTTGTCACCGAGTAAGAATTCTGAGGCTGAATCCCGAGTAGCTAGTGAATAACCTACTACCAAAAGAAGTTTCGAGGAAGACCTAGTAATATGATGTTAAATCATACGACGCGGTTGTTTTCTTCCCAATTATGCTTGCATCAGAAGCTACAACTTCTTATTCTGCGCACGGTGCGGTTTAAGTTCGCATAGTGTTAATATACAATATATATGATGAGGTTGTTTTCTTCCCAATAATACTTGCCTTCGAAGCGGTAGTTTCCTATTCTTCAGGCGGCATGATTGAAGTTCTCGATTTTACTAATATAGCAGAGCTCCGACGCCTCATCTGTTTACCGGTCGGAACTAAAAACACGGAACTGCGCTTCCCACTTTCATCCTCCTCGTCGTCCTCGTCCTCGTAGGTTTCAAATCCAAGCGTGGCCGTCAGGATGCGAGCGGAGCTCATTCTGTTGTTCACCAATCTAGGATTTGCAGAATGCGAGTAATTCCTTAGAGTACCAGAAGATCTCAGATCTCCCATGATTTCTCGTTTCGATCGATCGTGCCCCGTAAAGAAATGCTTGAAGTCGTCAAAGGTAATGCGGTCCTGCTGCTTGCATTCCACGGTCTCAAGGCCATCCTTCCACATTGTGCAAACCTCATCGTCCATTACACCTTCTTTGGAACACACCAACTCTTTCAGGTCAGATAGTGTGATGTAACCTTTTCCATCGCTGTCCATTCGATTGAACGCCAGTCGGAGATTCCGATCGTCAAAGTCACACCGCGATAGACCAGCGGCAATGAACTCGTGCCAGTGGATAGTGGTTTCTTTCGTGTTCAGAAGCAGCGAATCGAAGATCGTTTCGATTTCTTCTTCTGTTAGCGAACCCGCAGATTCAGTTACAACTCGACTCTTCATGACCTCTTTGAGTTCATCGAGGGAGATATCTCCGCTACCGTCTTTATCTATCTTTTCGAATTCTTGTTTCAGGCCTTTGATTTGTTCCGGAACAAGCGTGAAGCTCACAATCTCGAGCAAGATCTTTTGTAGGTCGGAGTACTCTTTGAAATCCATGAGATTTTTGATTAGGTTTGTATTGAGGGGTTTGGAATGCAAAGGATCAGCCTTGGCAGACGATATGAGCCATTCATCATGGGCGGCTTCGAAGGCCGACGGCCGTTGCGCCGGATTTTTTGTCAGCAAGCGCCGGATGAAGTTTTTGGCCTCGTCGCTGACCGTATCCCAGATATATTTCGGCTCGAACAGTAGATTGCAATCCAGAATGTTGTCACGTACTTCCGAGAGAGCCTCACCGTCCATTCCACCGAAGGGCGGGTCCCCACAAAGCAGCAAGTAAGTGATGACCCCGATCGCCCACACGTCTACCTTTTCGTCGTATTCTCCAAGAATCATTTCTGGAGCGGCAGTGTACGGTGTTCCGACCACATCCTTCATTTTGCATCCATCGTGGTCGAAATGTTTAGAAAGCCCAAAGTCGATTAATCGAATGTTGTCGGATTCGGGGTCGTCGAACAAAAAATTCTCTGGGGACGAATTCCATGGTGCATAAATACAATCACGACGCAAGGGGAAAAATTAGAGGGAGAAAAAGTCGTATGAATCAATCGTAAATGCAAGAATCGAATAACTGCATTGTTTTCGACTCCAAGAAATGCAGCAGCATGCTCTAACATACCTAACTTCAAATCTCGATGGATGACTTTGTTCGCATGGAGGTATCGGACGGATCTGATCATCTGCTTCACAATATTTGCACATCGATGCTCTGAATAATGATAGTCCGACTGTTCTTCGAGCCGATCAAACATATCTCCTCCCGTCAAAAGGTTCATGATCAAATAGATCTGGTCTTCACTCTCATAGACTTCCTCGAGGCGTATTATATCGGGATGGTCTGACTGGCACATGATGAAAATCTCTTCGCGAAGTGTTTCGATAATCTTCTCGTCTTCGATCAATCCTATATTCAAACACTTCGCAGCAAACTGGACTCCTGTTTCTCGATGGGTACACCTTCGAACGACTCCTTCGGCACCCTCACCGAGGGTGTGACCGTTGTGAACCCCATCGTACACGTCTTCAACTCGCTTGGTGGGAGAGGTCTAATAGTAAACCGGTATAAAAACATGTACATAGTCACAAGTATCAAGGAATTCAGACATTAAGGAAAGTGACCATAGCTTTGGGCGTCATTCTCGATGCAAACGAACAATCCCTTGTTCGCATTCACGAAGACATGATACATATAATGCAGAACGCAGTTTCTTACTTCGATCTTAACAATGGCTTTCGTCAGGTTTCCGCTTTCTGCTAGATCCTTCTTCCACTTGCTGAGACTGTCCTGTCTTGAAGTTGTAGTGGTGAGGGTGCCAGTTGAGATGTTACGACGATGCTGTTGGGCGCCCTGTTGGTTCGCATGTTCGACATACATATATTGAGCTTGCTCGACTACAGCCGAGCTGTTCTTACTTTGAGAACACCCCATGCTTCTGGATTGAATGCCTTCTATTCACTAAGATGTAGGTCGGGATGATGTTATTCTTCGAATACGATCTCGAAAGGTTGCTGACGTCTAGTTGCACGGTTCCTTCGAAGAAGAGCCATCGTGCTACAAAATCGCAAGCCAGCTTTCGCTTCTTCAAGATTTCAACTTCCAGTCTAAAAATGCATGGATACTCGCATCCTTAACATTTACAGTGAACATACAGCACAAAATAGGCTTCCTTCCCCTTATTGCCCCTCGCCGAAAATTTGGTGTACCTAAGACACTGGAAATATAGAACCCTGGGCTCTATCTTCCGTAAATGGTCAGTACACACTTATTGGAAGAGGAACGACGTGCACTGATTTATCAACAGCTACTGAAAGAAAATAGCGGAGCAGAACGGTTTCGTCCGACGATATTATTACTGAGAAGCGAATTCAAGGCAGTTTCTGACAAATCTCAAACGAACACTAACAAAAAATTCAGGATCATTTTACCGTACCAAGCATAGCAGTTACGAAGTACCGTGCGGGAACAGGTGTCCCCTATGACTGTTTTCGTCACAGAATGACTCAGTATGACTGTGTAGAATTGAGTATAATTAGTACCAGAAAGTTGTTTTAGTATTATTAATGCTATTATAGCTGCGAATACTGGGAATCAGCAAGAGCCTGAGCTTCAGCAAGCACTTAGTAGTGCCCTGCTTTAATGCAATCAGTGTCGTAAATAGTAGTTGAAATTGATGGAAGCAGGAGGAGACTCGCCTTCCCCAAGTGCAGTAGTAGTACTAACAACTTCTTATAATTTTTGTCGCCTGCAACACCAAACAATGCTTCGATATAAACCTGGAGAGATAGAAAGATGTTGCTGAGTGTTTTGCACCACTTAGCCTTGTCAAATGTCTTTTTAACATGAATGGCAATCAAATGATCGATATCTTTTGATATCTTCTTTCAACCATTTTTTGCTGTGCATACTTTAACAAGAAAGAACTTCTTGTTCTTGGTGCTTTGAATTGAATTAAACAAGAAGAAACCAAGATCAAGAACATTATATTAGGACTATTTGGTGGTTGAGTGGTCACACAAATATTCACGCCAGCATTTGCCACAGCTTCAGCAACAGCAGTTCTGATGATAGATGACTTGTGTGGATTCACATTGTCCTCTTGAATGATAATCTCAGGAGGGGGACTAGTAGTACTACCGTCAGCTGCTGATTTCAACAAGGGGGGCATCTTTGTACCATGCGTGGAACACAACTTCTTCCTCTCAATTATTCCCTCTCAGCACTCTCTCCAGCTCCAAAAAAAGAACCCACATGAAAACTGCAAGTGCCAGAGAAGTTTTTTGCTCTCTCTAGTAACCCATAATGACCACACAGGAAAATTCTCAAGAAGTAAGGTAAGAATATCATGATCACAAAGCTCCAATTCTTGACTTTCTATGATAGCTCCAGGTCTCTCCAGGTCTGGTGGTGCTGAAATGACCAGTAGAATCCAACTGACAGTAGTAAAATCACATCTTTATGCCAAAAAAGGACCTGTTTAAGTAGCAATTGCAAGTGCATTAAACACTTTCACCTCATGCAATCTTCATGACTGTATGCATTTATAATAGATCTGTTAGTGAGCACAAAAAGTAGCATTTGAATCAGCCACATATTGGGCATATTTCAACTGTAAATTGGATACTTGTTCCCGGACAGAGGAAGTATTTTTAGTGATCCTTGTTACTCCTGGGGAACAAATTTCAGTGGTTACTAGTATTAGTACAGTAGTTCTAGTTGAGAATTTCGATTGGTGATTACCACTGGACTGAAGAACTTCTATCAGTGATTACTAATAGTACTACTAATAGCAGTGAGAATGATATATGAATTAGGAGTACTATTGCTTGTAGTAATGGGGGAAATAGAATACTTAACTAGTTTTCTTCTTGCTGGCAAACTTTTGTCTTGTGCCATAGTAGGGGAGTGTCTAGAAATAAGTAGTATTAGTAGTACGACTAATACTACCGTATAGGAGGAACAACATTGGCACTACCATGCACTCCAGACATTTTAGACAATATCTGTCATTCGCGTTCGGGACGAGAACCATATTTTACGCAACGAAAACAAAACTGCGTCTGTTGGTCCCTTTTCTAAAACCGATGCTACAAGTAGTAGTAATGCTAGTGCACCACACCCAGCCATCACGAGCTCCAAATACTACTCTATCTATCGCCCGCCACACAATCTTTCCCAGCGGTTCCAGCATCAGATTTAGGCAACGCAGTGCTGCTATACCCTTCTTGTTCTTGTTTCCTGGAATAGCGGGAAGTGCACCTCGACAAGCACCGCAGACAGCAGCCCACCAGGTTTGCAACCAGCACGAACAGGCCCCACACGGATCGAAACACCCCGCAGTCGCACCAGCAGCACGACGGCACGATCATCGCCACCAGGCCGATCGGCACCGCATACCGGGCCCCGAACCGCACCGAGCAGGCGTAAATAAACGCCGAGCACACCGTCAGGTACGCCCACCCGGCCACGGCGATCAGCGTCGCAAAAAAGACCATGTTCCCCATCCCCGTGGCAGCGGCCTTGTCGCTGCCGCCGTCGGACTCCCAGAACCGGACCTTTCCGGCGATGCACCGCCCAAAGACGTTGCAGTGGTGGTCGTGGTGGGCACAGCACCGCTGGCAGATCGTGCAGTGGTAGTAGTTCGGTCCGGGTTTTCGCCAGACGAGGCACCGGGTGCAATACACGCCGGTGGTCCTCCGGCCGTTGCTGTCCACGCCGGTCGTCCGGATGTACCTTTCCAGCCCGTGTGGGCGGCGCGGTTCGTCCTCGGCACCGGCGGCCTCCTCCATTAGCCACGACTCGACGGCCAGGGGCAGCGGGAAGCAGGTTTCCGGGGACCGGTGCACCACGCAGGGATCGACGCGCAGGATTCCCACCGTGCACACKAGGGCCAGGACGGCCTCGGTATAGACCAGCACCAGAATGGCCACCACGGCGGCCGGGGTGGATTGGGACCCAGAGGCTCCTTGCTGCGGGAGGATCGCCGTGAGGGCCACGTAGTGGGTCAAGAAGGGGATCAGGATCGAAGCGGCGACTACGACGCAAACGCCCATCCTGGTCTCCTCTCGCTTCATGGAGTGTCTCGGTTCCGGCAGCGGTGGGAGGGATTCGATGGGAAAGGAATGGCCGCCACTCGTGCTTGCCGGCGAAGAAGCGTTGTCGCTGCGGCTGCTCGTTGTTGTTGTTGCCGTGCCGGTGTTCTTTCGTTCCGACGCACTGTCCTGCTGGTTGAGGTCCTGTCTCTGTCCCGCCAGTGGGTTTGGTTCGACCTCGATTCCGGTTTCGGTTTCCAAAATGGAATGGCTCGAGTTCTCTGTAGTGGTCGCGGAGGATGAGGAAGACTCGCTGTCGTTGTCTTCTTCTTCTTCCGCACCGATCTCTCGCTGCCGCAACCGTGGTGTTCTCTCGGGTTCGTCGCCATCCGGAACTCTCGCGAACCCATCGTGGTAGAACGGGAGGGCCTCCACCGCTGGAACTTCATAGAGAGCCATGGTTTTGGATGGAAAAACTTTTGCCATTTGTAGCATTCGATAGCAATGCGACTGTGCTTCATTATTATTGGTTTACTACGATTTGGAACGAGTTGAGGGAAGGGAGGGAAGATCATTCCCGGAGTCTAGGGGCAATAATAGGTTCCATCTTAGAAACCCAGATTTTGGACGTTGAGGGGGGGGGCTGGGGACTTCCTCTATCTTCGACTTACCGGTACTAATAAAAAATCCGAGTACTTGTGTACGCATCCAGAATATGCACATACATCATGACCATGAATTTAGGCGCCTGGGTTTCCGGGAATGACCACTACCATACCGTACTGTTTCCTCATTCGAAAGATGGGGTTCCCGCGATTTTTTGACTAGCTTGACTACAATTCCGAAACCCTACGCGAAGGCCGTTGGATCGTGGGGTCTGAAGTTTTTGGTGAAACCCTTTCACGTGCCATGCATTCCTTTGATATTCCATCGAATTTTGGAACGAGCTGTTCTCGTTCCTACAAGATACGAGCTAAATCACTTGGAATCCCACTTCACCAATCTCAACTGCAGAAGGTTTGGATACCGACACCGTTGCCGCATTTCCAACGACACAGTGGGTTAGTGGCATTTCCCAAACGAATCATCGCGGAAGTCACAAAAACACAGCAATTAGATCAAAAGAACAATATCGTTGCATCGCAAACAACCAAAACCGACCAAAAACAATCTAAACCAAACCAAACCAAACCAAACCAAACACTCGCCATGGGTATTTTCAAAAAGACAAGGCAGTCACTGATCGAAGATCCCGCCACTGTTGCGGTGGATGGCGAAACCATCGAAACCACCCTCCCGCAGAAGCAACCACAACCAGCGCAAGAAAAGCAGCAGCAGCAGCCCCAGCAGTCCATCGCCCAGTGGAAAAAGGCCCGAAAGAAGGAGCGCAAGGCGAATGCCGTGAAGCGCGCCAACCAAAAGGAGCAGCGGGCGTCCAGGATCCACCAGCTTGTCCTCCACCGCAGCGCGAATCGCTCGGGCGGACCGCAAAACGAATACTGCTACAGCCCCAACATCGCCGTCCAGAGGCAAAAGAGCGCGAAGAAGGCAGCGAGCGTGGGGTGGGGGACCGCACAGATTGCAATGAAGGGGGTCTTTGGTGGGCTTGGCAGAAAAGACAAGATTCGCAAGAACTGAAGTGGGCGAGGCGAAAACCGCACCAACCAAATGGCAAGAACCGGTGGCACGGACAACGAGACGGCGATTTTGTGCCGATCGCTACGAAGCAATGGTCATCGAAGCCCAAATCTCTTGCTGCATCCAACGACGACATTTTTATCTGATTTAATTAAATTCAATGATAGTATACTATTGAATACAATGGGCTATTCCAAAAAAAAGCTTTCGCCACCAATACACAAGTACTTGGTAGAGGAAACAAATCCACCCATACTGATTGCTCGTTACAGTAGAAACCAATCCATCAGCGACGTCGACACACTTCGAATTTCGCCGCCGCCTTTTATTGGAAAGTTTAAACTACCAAAATATGGTTCTTGTGCTGTTGCGACCCAAATCCAACGAAAACGGATACTAGACAAATGTTGTTGATGTAAAAATATTTGTTGTATCTAGGTTTTGTAGCGCTTCTATTGTACATGGTTGTGTTTGCTTTGCCTCTGTCAACGGTCATGTTCCAATATTTCTCTCGTAGTATACGGTGAGAAAGAAACGCAGTGAACAATCCAGGGCGCGCGAAATTTCATTCATTCTGAAAGGTCTGAGAAGCCAATGTCCTCTACTATTGGGTGGAAACATTGCTAAATGAGCACCGCTGCTGCGAACGCGTTGGCTGCCTGCAACTATAGTGTGCACGACCTGCTGGATATCTCTCCGCACTCGTCCCTTAGTCTGAATGGTTTCGTTGAGAGGTTCGAATTCCCGAATTGCTATTCGTCGTCGTCCTGGATGTTGTTGGTGGCTGGGCTGTCGTCGTCGTCGTCGTCATCATTTGTGCTTTCCGGTTTCGATTTCGTTATATTGTCATCGTCATCGTAATCATTTGTGCTTTTCGGTTTCGATTTCGTGCCATCGTCATCGTCGTCCGCAGGGTCTTGTGGTTCCAGTTTTGCTTTGCTGTCGTCGTCAACGACCTCTTCTATTGTTTCGTCCGCTTCTGATTTATCAATCGCGGCCGTAGAAGACACAGCGGGCGTTGTTTGATCCGCTTCTGAAATATCAATTGCACTCGTAGAAGACACACTGTGCGTCAATTTTTGTTGCGTTGACGATGCAGAACTCGCATCTTGTTCACTCGGAGTGGTACCGTCCGTGTCTTCGTTACCTTCGTTCTCATTTTCGTCCTCGTTGGTGCTAGCCTCGTCGTCATTCGAGCCTTCCCTGTCATTTTCATCGTAGTCTTCAGTCTCTTCTCCATCCTCTTCTGTATTCTCTTCTTCGTCATCATCTTCATTCTCTCTTTCTATGGAGGAAGCCGGGGAAGCAGCCGTAGAATTCCCAAAATCTGGAAAGACGAAATCGAAAAAGCTTCCGTCGGCGAGGAGCTTGTCAAGATCGAGGTTACAAAATTTTTTCTTGGCAACGTACTTGTCAAACTCGGCGTCGTGCGCCGCTTGTACCTGGGAAAAATCGGGGTCCGGATCGTCCTCGTGGTAGTCCCGCGACAGCAACAGGGCGTCCCGGTCGTCCACCGATGGGAACAGGTCGCCCTTCTTCCGTCGGCTGCTTGTTTGCTTCCCGGCTTGCTTCCTCCTCCTGAGGGAGTGCATCTTGACGAGGCTCGACATCTCCCTCAGGTAGTCCAGTGATATTTTCTTTAACTTGGCGAGGTTTGGCTCGTCGAGACAGACCATGGGCACCTCCTTTGTCAGCGGTCCCAGGGCGTTATTGGTCAGGAGGTCGTTGTCGTTCCTATCGTTGTTAATTATTCCGTTGTCCTGGTAAAAGTAATCCTCGATCCTCCTGTAGATGTTGTTTTGGACACTCCTCTTGATTTTCTGCTTCGGGTCAACCCGTTCGGGGATCCGGCGGCGGGCTGCTTCCAAGATTCGGTGCTTGTCCTGGTTCGTCATGAGATTCTTTGTGCCCTGTCGGGTGCGTTTGACAATATTGTGTGTCGAGTTTGTGTCGGCCGCGTCCTCGATAAGGTACTCGCACGTGTGGGTCGCTTCCGGAAGGGTCTGGCAGACAAAGTCGGTAAAGAGATTCCCGTTCCCGGTACCGGCCGCTGTTCTAAATGCCGGTTGCTGGTGCATGTCAAAGATGTCGACCCGGTCGTAGAGCTCGGGCCGGGACGTCCACTTGAGGTAGGCAAAATAACTTCCCGAAAGCCCATGGTATGTTTCAGGATCGGGTTTGCGACCGCTCGTGACTACTTTGGCACTCGATTCCACTTCTTTGTTGGGGATGTCGATTTCTTTGCCGTTGCCATTGTTTTCGGCGTTGTCGAGGTAGTCGAGGATGTACTCGATGAGACTAGGGATGTGCTTCATCTCCATATCTTTGTCGTTCTTGTATTGTTTTGGTGCCAGCAAATACCGTTGGTAATGAAGCGAGGGCACCCACGAAAAAAAGTGCCGGTAGGCCACTACGATTCTGACCCGAAAGCCAAAGCTGGGTTCGATCCCTTCGCTGCTGTAATCGAAAGGCTTGTCGCTGACCATATCGGTATAATGGTACGGATAGTCTGGATGCACGTGGTGGTAGGATTTCGTCGGCGCGGTGCCGTTCCGTGATTCTTCTGTCAGTCTTCGTCGCTTCCTATCCTGCTTGGATAACTCTTTCGTCTTATCCTGCTTTTTCGCTTTTTTTTTCTTCCTGCGCTTGGCCCCAGATTTGTTTCCGTCACTGAACTTTGTGTGCCGGTAGAGCGAGCTCAGAAACGTCCCACTAAACATTTCTTCCCAATGATTCTCGACGTTGAGCTTCGACGTGTAGTGCTCCGAACTCAGCACCACGTTGTGGCCAGCCTTTTGGTGCTCCCGCAATTTTTCGGTAAACGCATATTGGTTTTTGATAATGTCGGTCATGGTAAAGGTTCTCACCGCCGTCGCATTGTTTGGGCCAACCAGAAAGTCCTTTCGCTCGCCGAACCGCATGCCCAAATAGTAGATATTGTCTTCCACGGCCAGCCTGCCCATAATGGCGTGCCGGATAAATCCGTCTTGAATGGTCGTCGTTGCGGTTTTGGGCGGCCCCACATGGACGATTAACCAGGGGCGAGTGTCTTCTTCTTTGTTTGTGTTCGTCTTTCTATCTGGTTTAGCAACGGTTGTTGTGTCTCTCGTCATGCCAAGACGCTTTGTTGTCGCATTTGCATTCGAATTCGTTCTTTCCATGTGTTGTCCTACATTGTGTGGCGTCGTTGTCTTTTTCGTGGTGGGGGGCGAGAGGTTAGCAGAAGCCTTTGAATTCCAATGCGTCAACTCCTCAAAGTACGGTTGGTATGCCAGCTGTTCGTTTTGAAGGAACACCCCGATCATACCCATGACAGTGATGACTATGACGGCATAGTAGGGAAAGATCCCATGGTTTCGGGGCACCATGGTGAGGTTTGTAGTCTAGTGGTTACTAATAGATTGCTATTTGGTTTGTATTGGTCTCTGGAAGCCAAGTGGGTACTTCGTTTGTAGATCTGTCCACCTAAAGCTGCAATGGTGGTCGACGACAATGCGAACGAGGGTTTTGGTGCGAAGACCACGAAAGATGAGGAGAAGTTTTGTACCGGTACGATTCGGTTTTTTTTCTAGAAGTATTTTACTACGGTATTGCCATTCTGCCGGCCGGTACCAGATACCGTACGGTAGCGTTCACTAGCTACTCGTGATTGTGGTATGTGCACTACGTACCTCACAAGGGGGACATAATTATCGGTTGGAACGGATATGAAAAGTGAACACCAAGGAGTCTAACTGTGGCGCGCTGACTCCCGAATAGCTCATGAATAACCACTCTCGAAGTAGGAGTACGAGCTGTATTTTTTTTCATCGTGTTGTATTGTACTTCGTACCTAACTGTACTTGGGTACGTACGTCTGTGCCGTATTTTCGTAACGTCTGACAGTACTGTAATCAGTACTCGTTACTCGTACTCGTGGAATACAACGTAAAACGTAATGCCCTGCCTTCGCACTGTACGTACGTTACCCTGTACGAGTACGTATGTACCGTAACATTTAGGACACCAGGCAGGGGTCTATGATGACACCTGTCGAAGACTACGTACCAATTACGGTACAACACGTTACTCGACAACGTATTACGGTACGGTAGTGTAGTAGTACCATACCGTAGTACGAATACGAGTGCTGTAAACTGGAACTGGCATAGTTTGGATCTCTTATCGTATCTATAGTACATGTAATCTATACGATAGATCAATCTAAATTTTTTAAAAGTTTTCCGTGAATAAAATCACAACGTCATTCACGGTCTGATCTTTGCACGTCACAGGGAGATTGTCGATCGAGAGATTTTTCATTCTGATGTTTTGCCTTGTGATGTGTCGTGGTCGATGACAAAAATTATGTAGAAGTACAGTAGCTGATGGACTAAGAAAGACTATCTGCAACAGAACAACATTATTTTTCGTACCCGCTTAACTTTCATATTATATTCACCAGGCTTTCCTGCGCATTTCTAAGATGAAATTTTCTCCTTTATTTGCCGGATCGATCGCTCTATTTGGGTTGGGAAACCATGCTACCGCCTTTTGTCCGGTAGCGAATCATGGCACGGTCGTGTCTTCGGCCCTTCGTGCTACTGCCTTCGAACTGGTTCCCGAGCCAGAGGGCGGAGAAGAAATCTCCTCCGTCAAGAGCCTTCCCGGATCCCGCATGAAGAACATGGGAGAAGCCGAGGGACTGGCTGGGGTTCGTGATGACGACGAAGATCAGGGACCTATCAACAAATACTGGCTCACGGCAAAGGTGGAGGGACCATTGATCAAAGAGATTCACCAGACCGTCCTGAAGGAGAGCGCCAAGAAGGCTAACTTTCCCGGTTTCCGCAAGGGACAGGTCCCACCCTTCGCCATGCCCCAAATTCGTGGGTTTGCGGTACAAGAAGCCATCGTTCAAACTTGCCAATCTGCTGTGGATGCTTACGGCCTCAAGAGTGTTTCCGGATCCGACGGGGAGGTCGAGGTTCTCGAGGACGTGCCAGAGATGGCTAAGGCCTACAAACTCGGTGACGATTTGGAATTCACAGCGACCTTCAATGCGATTGTTGATCCCGAGTTGGCTCCAGCAGAAGATAGTAGTAGCAGTGAGGATGGCGTTGTGGATGTTGAAGCCGAGGTTGCCGCCGAATAAAGAAATCAAGCAACAATCAACGAAAAAGTAAAAGAACACAAAAATGTAAAAATTCACATCTTCACTATATTTAGTCGGTATTATTGTGTCAACGGTACTTTCAAGTTGAAATCCGAGTCTGCCTTCTACTGATCATTTGGTTAAATTGGCACGTTTCGTGAATTTCGATACAAGGTCGTGAAATTCCTTCCAAAACTATTTCGTGTTTTCGTAGAAAAAATGTTCCACCATAAAAAACACCGTACCCGAAAGCCAAACTCCAAAAGCTTCAAATAAGTCATTGCATTCCGTGCATACAGAAAATGGCAAAGATATTGCCGAGTATTCTTGCTACCATTGTCATGAAATCAATAAATTGTGATAATTCCCTGTGTTCCGTGATGTGCATCAGAAGTAGCGAAAAGTACTGCGTAGATGAATGATATCTCGGTGAGCAGATCATAGCGTGGGACATGAAGAACACAAACCTTTCCGCTTTACTGCTATGAGTGCATGTCTACGTCTATCGCGTCCGAATAATATTGTGTACATCCATTATTTTATCAACAAGCATTGTGAATATCTACGGCTTGCAATCTTCACCTCTTATACCGCCACAATCGTATAATTTCTCCACAGCAAAAACATGCTTAGGATCATCAGTGCCAATCCCGGGATGATCAGTAGATTCAGCAGATTTCGGATGCTTATGAGTCCCATCGCGGTAATGAACAAATCTCCGACGGCCCGTCCACCCGTTCCCACCAGAGTGGCGAGGAGTCCGCTGTTGAAGGTGCCAACGGCTAGGGCACTCGGAACGCACTTGCTCATGAGTGAGGCAACAAAGGACTCGCACGCCTCAATTCCCGAAAAGGCTACCAGCGACCCTGCAATGTACTGAACGGGGCCGACGGAAAGAGGAATGTGATCGTTGTAGGAGTCGCTAGTCTCCGTGTCCACCAGGTCTGTTAAATCAACCATGGCCAGTAGGCCCAGCGATGTAATACCCATGAACCACATGGCCAGGTATCGATCCTCTCGGTACTGCGAGAGCCAACCCGCAAAAATGGAAACGGGAATGACGATAATGCCATTCACGAGATGCAAAACGCCAACGTTTCGGATCGACCATGCGTATCGGTTTTTCGTAATCACTGAAGTCGAACCTACGATGCTCTGTAATTCCGAAGAGGCCATGAGGTTTGGAAACGAGAACCCAAGAGAGAGTATGGTGGAAAAATACAAGCAAAAGACAAGAGGTGTTGGTTTTTCAGTTCAGTTCGGTGGTCCGTACGACACAGAATCGTTCGCATAGTTTTCTAGGGGTAAAGAAGTGAATTGTGAATCGTTGCTTGCTTACCTCCAGCGCAATGCGTTTCATAAAGATTAGAGCCATGCAAAGGGCCGTTGCACGGGTCATGTTCCGGACACAATATAGGGGGCTGTGCTTCGAGACGCCGCTTTCGTCCATGGCAGATCCCACCGAGAGGGATCCGACCGATGAGGCATCGTCGTCGTCGTCATCGGTCACGGCGCCGTCGCGAAAGGATCGGTCGCCCTCACCGTCGAAAGACTCGCGCAGTGCCGCCGAGGCGTCATCTTCCGCCGCCTTTTTCTTGGCGGCCGCGGCCTCACGCTGCCGGAGCTCTTCCAGACCGGAGCGGTTGGGTTCCCGAAAGGTCAGCACAATCAGAACTGTGAAGAAGAACCAGAAAACGGCCATGAAGAAACCCGGTCCCGTCATCCCGTTGAAGGTCTGGACGCCCAGAAACGGTAGGGAAAACTCAAACTCGGGGACCATGTCCAGCAGAATGGCAAAACCCGGGCCGCTAGCGGCCCCCAGGGCCGTCGTCAGGGCAAAGGCCGCGGACGACATAGTCCTCAAGGAAAAAGGGGTCGCATCGGCCACGTAGCGTCGGTTGATGATGCGGGGGGCCCCAAAGCCGCTGATGCCGCGGCCCACCAGGCACATGACCATGGACTGTTGCGAGTACGCGGCTCCGTACAGGGTGTTCCCGACAACCATTAGGACGCCAGAAAACAAAATAGGCTGCTTGTAGGAGGTGTTGGTCCAGATGCTGTAGCCGACCGCGCTCGTTAGGGCGAACCACGGAGCCATCCCCATCATGATACCCGACAGCGCATCGGAGCTGCCCAGCGCGTTGGCATAGTAGGCCGAGGACGGTTCGATGATGTAGTTGTTCATCATGAAGAGATAGCACGAGATCAGGTTCAACACGAGTGGCCACACGTTGGCTGGGTCCATCCCCGCCCCGATGGCCTCGTCGCCTTCATCGCCGTAGGCAATGCCGTCTGCAACGTCGAGGGGGCGTTCCCTCCAGAGGGCAAGGGCCTTCATTTCCTTCTTGAATCCCCGCACCTGCGAAAAGAGGAACCTAGGTTCCATGGAGATCCCCATCTGTGCCGTTCCCATAGTATAAAAGTATCTTATCGTCTGCAAAATCCTCTCGGTTTTGTTGGGGGACTGGCGCGTCTGCTGCTTCCACGAGGTTTTGTCTAGCAGGGCTTCTAGCTCGTCGGCACGGGCCCGAAAGGTAGAGGAGGAAGGATCGGTCCCCGCTGGTTTTGCCGAACTAGGAGTACCGCCCTGGTGTACATTCTTCAATACGGACGAGTCATCCATCCAGTAGGAGGGAAGTGTCATCATGCGGTCCTGGAGGGGTTCCAGGGACGCCAGCAACGAGGGCACCACCGTCTTGAGGCTGAAATCGTCTGTGGCTCTCTCGTACTCCGCCTCCGAGACCATTAGCGAGGACGACTCGTTCCCGCTCTGTGGCGGCTGCAAAATCTCGTACTCGGAAAGAAACATGGACCCGTCGTACATGCGCACGTGGGCATTGTACCGCAGCAGGAGCTGGCGGAGGACGCAAATATTGACCACGGCGAATCCGTAGAGTTTGAGGATGGTGTTTTCCTCCTCAGTTTCGTCATTGCTCTCCGTAAAGGCGGCGGATGACTGAAGCTCGATCCAGCAGGTCTGGAACCATCGACTAGCCTGGTCTAGCTCGGCCTGGAGCGCCTTCTTGAAGTCATCGTGTTCTATCCGGGAGAGGCGCTCTGTTTTGGTCTCGCCGCCAAAGACTCCACCGCATCCACGGAGGCGGCTTTCATTGGTGTCGTTGCCGTTCATCCCCATGGAAGATATGTCCTGGAGGGTGTATCCAAAGATGATGTTGTTGTCGTTGTCGCTGCCGTTCGCGTCGGGATGGTTGTAGCTCTGGTTGCCGCCTGCATGCGGTTCCTCTTCCAGCACAGTCGACCATTTTAAATCCCCGCGCTGGAGTTTCCTCCTTCGCTTCCCGAACATTCGCAGGGTTTTTTTTAGGGACGCATAGTCCACGTAGTGCGGACTCCACTCAGGGTCTTGCGCCCGGCGCAAATACACGTCGAAGGGCTTCATGCTGAAGATGGCTCCTTCCTAGGTTTGCTTTTATACTTTATTCCTGTCGCCGTTTGCCGATTTCCGAGTCAACCAATGAATCAAAAGGATCAATTTGAATCAATCGTATTCTTTCGTTCAGGCTGCTGCTGTGCTGCTTCAGGCTCCTCTGAGTCTCGTTCGTTGGTTGGTTTCAGGACTGGTATCCAACCTTTTGTCTTCCGTGGGTTGTTGGTCGATGAAACAGAAATTACTTGTAAATGTGATCGCAATAGGCGATGAAGAGTATCCGGAGAATGTTCTTTTTCACACCGAATATTTAGGCCGGGTTGTCCCGCAAGGCAGTGCGCACTCATCGCATACAACCGACATCGTTCCGATGCACGGGTACGTACCGTTACATATTTCAACCTAGTACTCACGAGTTATGACTATTGTCAGTACTCGTAAAATAAGTATCAATTGATGTTCAGTGTGAAGCCGCGCCGAGCAACTCCACGCTTCCGATACCGGTAGAGCCGTTGGAGGGTGACATGATCGGAACGGATTTCTAAAAATAACACCTGGTCCTCTGATTTGGTGGCGCGCGCGCCGAGGATTTTCTTTTTAGATAGGGACAGCACGTGCCACCTCCTTGGCAAGTGAGCTGCTGAATGTTGCTATGAAGGCTCCTTCTCCGAGGCCCTCCTAGGATCTGTCTGATCTCTCTTTCTGATAAGGGCTCACAGACGCCATGAAGAATGTTGGCTCTGGCGCAGCATCTCTCAATTTTGTCGGCGTGTGCTTCACAGGAGATTGAATGAGGCTTTCTTACAGCTTCTGATTTCAAGTAATCAATAACATCGTCCCTGGCACTCTTGGATGAAGCGTAAAACTTCCTGAAGGTAAGGAGAGCTGTTTCCCAATGTGATTTGCTATTTCTTGTTACTCTGTCACTTAATCGGTTGTTGCGCCACATGTTATTCCACTTCTGTCTGGGCCCATGCGCCAGGACTGAGAGCCAGTATTCGTCGATTTGCTCATCCCTCAGTTTCAAGTCAAACGCTGCATCCTCAAAGGCTTCCTGCCTGTACATAGAATAACTCCTGCACTCCATATTGTCCGGAGAAAACAACACAGGTTCTTTTCTTT